GAATAGGCAAACCCATAGAGACAGGAAACAGATCAGTAGTTGGCAGGGGTTGGAGGAGAAGGGAATGGGGAGTGATGGCTAATGGGGACGGGGTTTCTTTGGGATGATGAAAATGTTATGGAGTTAGATAGTGGTGGTGGTTGCACAGTTCTGTGACTATACTAAAGCCCACAAATGGTACACTTTAAAAGGACAAATTTTATGGTATGTGAATTATATCTCAATGAAGCAGTTATAAAAAATGTATAGCCCACCTTGCTGTTTTACACAACTTATAACCCAAGAGACCCATTTAAAGGAAGCCAGGAAGATGGGTAATAGAAGAAATGGTATAAGGTAAAAAATACATCCCCAGTCCAATGCCTTAACCATGTATTTTTAAACTATAAAAGCAGAACATGTTTATCAAAAATTATAAATAATATAGAGAAATAACTTAAAAGTCTCTTAACTCTCACTCCTCAGAGGTAACCACTATTGAAATATTGTGAGCCTCTATATCTATTAGGGGTTTCAAGCAAAGATACCAGCCCTGGGGGAGGTGAGAGCAATGGAACTCATTGCAAGGAGACAGGTTTGCTTAATTCTGATATCCCCGAGATCCAAGGGCAGAGGCTGACCTGCAGCCTTATGAGGGCACCGCTCTTGGAAGAGGCAGTTCTAAGAATTTCTCCTCAATTACTGAGGCACTGCACCCCAGAGTCAGAGCTCTCCAAGGCAAATGGGCGCTTCTCTGCAGGGTCCACTCAAGGCCTGACTTGTGATTGGACAAGCTTGGCTGTCCAGAATCAATCACTGTAGCTAAGAAAAGTTGGTGCTCTAATTGGCCAGACCTGAGTGCCATGTTCCAGCCCCCGTCAGGGTGGTGGGAGGAATAGAGTCTTACCAAACCACAGGGACAGAATGCGGGAAGAAATAATTTCCCGAAGGAGATCTGGGTACTATTTCCAGAAGAAAACAGAATGAATGTCTCTGGACCAGCAGAAGTGATTAAGGTCCACCATAGTATCCTTCTAGAT